AAATAGCAGAAAAATGCATGTGACAAAGGAATGCAGTTTGTGCAGCAAGGCATGAGCAACAAATCCTCAGTTTTAGAGAGCTTCAAAGCAGCCAGGAAAAAAATCTTTTTTGATAAATGTTATACTTAAATGTAAAAACAACCAAGTCACCTTCTGTGGTATTAAATAGTGCTAAAATTAGCAAAAAGTCTGCAGTATAATAGAATCAGAGGTTATAAAGTTATGCTTCATATTGGTTATTAATGTAGATTAAAAAGCTAAAATGCAAAAGCTTTACATGATTGAGACAACTTCTGTCCTGGTGAGGTAGGATAACAAATTAAAAATTATTTAAGGTTCTAATAGGAACACAAGGGGGCACCCGTGTCCCCACCGTAGTCCTAACTCCAAGGCTGTACCTACAATCCTGTTATTAATGTTTTTCAGATGACAGGGAAGAAGAAAAAAAGTTAGTTGTTTCATCAGATATTTGTTTATATCTATACTTGTAATTAATCCTAATAAAATCAAAATCAAGGCTGTCCAGGCACCTCCCTGCTTCACAAGGTTCCTGTAATAACTGTAGTTAATAAATTTTACAGAAAAGTAAGATTTCTGTGGTTTATTCAGCCATTTACTCAGACAAAAAACTGTAAGCCTGACGTTTGAAGTCACACTAGCATCTGAAAGATATATATTGTATATTTTGATCTCATTATGATTAAATAAACATACTAATCCTTTCACAAAATCATTTGCTGCTTTAATCTTAAAACAAAGTTTATTATTTGCATCCCTATTTTCTGATGATAGATGTGACATTAAGGTATAAATCAACATATGAAAGCCCTGCCTGTGGAGTGAATATCTGTCTGTCTTTATTTGAGGAAAGATTATAACTGGCAATTGAGTGAGAATTCTGTAAAATCTGCAGAACTACATTTCTGAATAGTCATAGATGGGTAAAAGAGCCGTTTTTCTCAATACTATTCACTGTAGAAAGATAGCATTTTTGCACTTGCCTTGCAAACGTGGAGTTGAGGCATAACACTAAAACTTGCCACTGTTTCTACGTGTAGAGAGCAGAAACAAAAGGTCTTTTAGTTATAAACAGCACTTTCTGTTCTCCTCCCTGGCACAATGGGTCTTTGATGCCACACAAAGTGATATCAATCAAGACTGACCGCTTACAGATTTCAAACCTGATTTGTAACAACCTACTTCTACAGCTGCGTAGGACCTGTGACTTCTGTAGATCCCCATTTATAGTAGCATGAGGAAAGAACTGGGATCATCATATCCAGTATTGCAACACAAAAAAAAAAAAACAGTCTTAGGTTTCATCTACTACAAGAGTATACAGTTTTAATTAGATCAGTGCATGTAAAGCTACATACAGAGAGACAACCATCTTAGTTATGTGCTTGTATAAAAGTGCCAGATGTCAGCATAGCGAGTGCCATCAGAAAAGAGGAATAAACTATCGTGTTATATCATGACTTCATACTGGTGTAATTGCCTCTGTATTTGAATTATATTTAATCTATTTTCAAATAAAAAATGTTCTAGCTAATTGTATTATATATCCTATAGATGTTATAATTAGTATATTATAGACAGCATAGATATTGTTATTACATTGTGGATAGTTCAGGCCTTCTGTAGAAGATAACTCTTTGTTGGCCCTTGTTTTAGGAGCAGATCTGTACTGACTGCCTTTCTGTATTCCTGAGGCAATTAGGACTGGTGACCATGTGATTTGACCATATCACTTGGCAATAGGGCTAATTTCAGGAATCAGGAAATCCTCTTGGCAGAAAAACAAGAAAAACAGTAAGTTTGGCCGTGGATGCCCCTGTGCCATGGAACTATTATTGCAGATGAAATAACGGTTAGGGTTGGCACTGCCTCCCACAGAGAAACTCCCCATTTTTTTTGATTCCTCTCTGATAACAGGAACAACACAAGCTTTGAAGAAGCGAGTCAGCCTTCTCATAAAGCAGCAACACATGGAGCCCCAGGAGGAAGAAAGGTCTTAGGAGATGCATCCACAGTTAAGTTGAGCTTCCGCATTCCACATGCTGTATAAGAAACATGAAAGTACAGCTTTTATGTTCAGGCCCGGTAAAGCTTAACAAGTCATTTGGAAATCAAAGCTTTGGAAAAGGCTGCAATCCAAGACAAAGGAAAAGAGCAGCCAAACCAAGACATTGCATTTAGGCTTTGTTGTCAGCAAACAAGGTCTGTTTTTATACATAGGATCTTTTGAGGGGAACTGAAGCAGATCAGATTTCTTGCAGGATCTTAAGGTGTGTTTCATGCACTAGTATTTGAAAAAGTTTATGAATCAAATGCCATCTCAGGAATATACAAATAACCCAGGAATGGGTTTAAACTGCTGCTTTTTGTGTAATAAGCACTTCTTTACAATAGGCAGGTGTTTGCCCCTAGCCTCCACTCCTGGTTGCGGTTCAGGGATGAGCTCAGGGTGGGCCATGCTCAGTCCAAGCACAGAGTGACAAGCACCTCCTCACCAGCCTGGGTGCCATGGGTTTCTGTAACCTGAAAGCAAATTATCTCCTTTGAAAGTATATCTGAGCTCAGTTGTTCTTCCCTGGAATCTGTCCAGATGTTTAACTTCATTACACTTCAAAGTTTTTTATAGATAATTCCTGGCAAAACTGCCCTGCACTGACTCGTACAATACACAGCCTGTGTAGAACAATGTAATTTCCGTTATTAAACAGTCCACCCATTAATCGTGCGTGTAACCAGCAGCTAATTACCAGCACACACAAAATAGATAATTGCACTTCAGCAGCTATTACTTATTTGGTGTAAGCATTGCCTACAGCCCATTTTTCCAGCCTGCCATGTATGTTGGTTGTATTGTGTGCATCTTCATGGCTGCTGCTCTGAGGAGGCCTTCTTGGGTCTGAGGAGGCCCTGTGGGCCAGAAGCAGCCAGGCAGGCAGCCCCAGGGTGCCCCCTCGGGCCCCTCAGACACTCTCTGCACCCCAAAACCCCGTTCCTCTCACATCATGATGCCCTTGGCCTGCTCGCCACCTTGGCCTGAGGAGTTCATTGGAGCACGAGACTGTCAGGCAGGACACTTTTCTGGGGCACTGAGTTTTGAGATATGTTACTTCTTGTGGTCTCCAGATTGTCTTAGCTGTTCTTATATGCCTGAAAATATCATAATTATGGTCTTGTTCCTGCATGATATGGTGTTCTGAAGCTCCTGGGGGTTGCTTGTCTACTGAAACCTCTTGTTGAATTGTGTGCACCAATCAGTCACACAAAGCAAAATAGAGAAATACCCCAGAGTTTCCCTCACACCTGTACTTTCTACATGTTCATAGAATCATAGAATCATTAAAGTTGGAAAAGGCCTTCAAGATCATCTGGTCCAACCATCACCCTACTACTACCAATGTCACCAAATAAAACATGTCCCTAAGCACCACATCCAACCTTTCCCTAAACACCCCCAGGGGTGGTGACTCCACCACCTCCCTGGGCAACCCGTTCCAATGCCTGACTGCTCTTTCTGAGAAGTCTGTGGAGTATTTCTGGCACTCCTTGTTATCATATTTGTAATAAGGCAGTTTGCTAAATGCAGTTCTGAAAGATAAAGCCAAATTCTGACCATGCCAGGCCTGTATCTCACCCCAACCCAGTGTAAAGCTGGAGCAGGTTTCCAGCTGGGAACGTGAGCAGTATCCCTTGTAAGCAAAAGACTGTGCTTTAGGAGATGACTGGGGAAGGTCTACTCATGCTGAGACCAGAGTCCAACCATGGGAAGGACAAAACTGCTTCCAAGGGGGTGTGAGTGTGTGTCACGCTGCTAGCTCTGCACCCCACATTTAGAACATGATTTATGACTACATCCATATCCTTTTGTATGTTTACAGCTGTTTTTGGGATGACTTACACAACAAAATCAATGGTTTCATACACAGAAAGAATAGTGTGGCAGGACATAAACACAAAGGGTTAGTGAACGAATGAGTTGTGGTTGTGGGAGCTGACCCTACTTGTGAGGTTACAGATGGAATAGTTCTAATTTTTTTTATACTCATCTGAGAATATCAGTGAAGAATCTGGATTTGCTACAGGCTCCACCTCTTCTGGATAACACACCCAGGTCTTTACTGGCAACTTCAGCAGTTTAGCAGTTCTGAGAACACAAAAACAGGAAATTCTGCACCAGCCTTGACAGAGGCTGAAGAACTGTATAAATTCCTTAAAGACTGCATTATTTTTTCAAAAACAAATTATCAAAAGCATTGAAGAAGAAGAATAAATCTGTTATTGGCATTCTTTGTTTTTACTTAATCATTTCCTATTAAATTTGTCACCTACTAAACTCTGTAGGAAAACAGCTTACTGCACAGGAAGCATTAACAATTTGCTTTTTATACCGGAAAGGTACAAAGTCCAAATTCCTTCTTTATCACATCCCAATGTAATCAGGTGATGCAGCATTTGACACTACCCCTTCACCTACCTTTACACAGAGTAGGAGTAGAGTCCTACTACAACTATTGCAGTGCACAAAGAACAATAAAGACCCTGGACACAATCTTTAGGACATTTAAAATATTACTAGAATTTTGCAGGCTCATCTTTGTTGCAGTACTTCAGAAATGTTAAGGATGTTTGTGAGTTCTTCATTAGGGTTGTTTGGAAAACAAGGGAAGTAAGGATTAAGTTTCAAATTTTTCACTTTTTTTTTTTTTTTTTTTTTTTTTTTTCTGTCTGCAATTTTTAGGTTATTGAAGGAATAGATTCTTGGTATAAACTGAAATTACATTACTTGAGTAAATGAGATTGAAGCATCCCAACATGTTGAGGCACTATCACTAGAAGCTTTCTCTTGGCAGCTTTTGAGAGCTGGCAGTGGCTGTCATGAGTGGAGGAAAATAATTGCATGTGCAAAACTTTGTAAAATTCAGCTTACCTCTGAAGCTTTTTTTTTTTTTTTTTTTTTTTTTTAACATCAATTCACAGTATTGGAAAAGCATGCAATTATCAAATTACGTACTCCTCCACAGATAGATCAATCATATAATCCCTGATAAATGAGAGAACAGAAATGAGAAAATATGTCTGGTAGAAATGAAAGCCTTCCCTTCTTTCATTTGACTCAAACCAAAGCACTGCTGTCCCAATTCCTCAGTAGGCAGGTTGTCACAGAGCACTGTGTTCAGGGGGTTCTGCAATGCCTCCCTTCCAGGGCACAAGGAGAGAATTTGGAAGAATGCATGAGATTTTGCCAGCATCTGGCTTCAGAGTCCACTTGTGTGGGCTGAGAGGGAGCGTGGGCTGAAAGGGAGCGTGGGCTAACAGGGCAGCAGGCAGCACTGCAATCACTGCTACAATGCGAGGTCTGTAGGAAGAGTAGGAGTTTAGGTTGCAGATGTCCCACTGCCTGCTGTTGATCCTGCATCTATCTGTTCCTTCTCATAGCCTTCTCACTCAGCCTTTGTACAGGAGACAATAAATTCCTCTCTCTGCATAGTTTAGTAAATTAATTTAAATAGTTAACATTTAGTAAATTGTTTAGTATTTCTAGTAAATATATGAATGTAAGTGCTTGTTGCCACCACTCTGGAGCAGATGCCGTATTACATATGAATGCACATCGTGCTTGGTTGCTGAGGAGATCATATAAATAGATACCTGGAGAATTCTTAAAGCCTGGTGATTCTTACTGGAAGTACTATAGGAGGCTTGCAAAAGTCTATCTGTGCTGGCTCTTCAGAAGTATTTCACAGCTTTGCATACTTATCTGAGAGTAAATTAAAATGCCTGGGTATGACCAGAGATGACTGAAAGGATTTGTCAGCTGCCATAAGAATAGGAGAGCAATTAAGTAGAGACAGTAACCTCTTAAATGTCTGCGGCACAAACTTAGAAGCACCCTTGATCAAATTCTGCAATCAAGGCTAGGCAATTTTATTAGCACCTACATATCAACATAAAATGCCTGTATTTATATTCAAATCCTCAATCATGGATTGGAACCTAGTTGTAGATGTTGTAGAAACATTTCCCTGTACCCAAAGAACCCACTAGTGGTGCATACAGAAGCATTTTGGTGATTGTAAGTGCTTACAACTGTGCTAGCAAAAGACCCCACCAGAGACATGAGCTACATAAATTTAATTCCACTGTGACTGAGTCCATGCTAATGTTTTTGTCAACATCACGACTGTACTTGAAAGTCATTTTTGGCTTCCTTCTCCCATTCTCTGACCTCCATTCAGTCCTGCTAGTAAAACTTCCATCAACTTGCTGTCATGTTGGGGTCCACAGGTCCCACAGAGACCTAGCAAAGGTTAATCGCTGCAGTGGGGTGGGTCAGCCCAGCTGGTTTTCATAGGAGTTGCTGAGAAGATTTAACCCCCTTTAAGAGGGACAGGGAAGGAAATAAAGCTAGTGTGTTAGCTGCTGGAAGAAGAGTTGGATTCAAAGAGTACCAGGTAGGGGCTGCATGCTCCCAAACAGAGCAGGCAGACTGGTGTGGGGTTGTTCTGTTGTATTCTGATCTGGAGTATGTGGTTGGCCTTTCAGGGGGTGTGTGTGAGGGGGGAGGGGGGTACATTTGTGGTCTCCCAAGGAGACACCAGTCCTTGATAAACCTTTCTGGTTTTAGCCTCCTCTGGAGTTTGTGATGTGGTTGGTTTGGAAATGCTGTGGTGATGTTTTTAGCTCATACGCTCATCAAAAACACTTCAGGAGTGCTGTGCACCTGTAAGCTAGGGAGGTGATACACTCCTTTTGTTAGAAGTCTAAATGTGGACTTAGCCACCTAACTTCAACCCTGAAAACATAAACAGCTTTGACCTCAATCAATATTTATTTAAAGATGAATGGCTGTGCTAAAGTGTAAATTTACTGAAGCCCAGAAGTACATAAGCACATTCATCACAGAAATAACAAGCCTTTTTTTTTTTTTCTTTTTTTTTTTTTTTTCCAGTTGACTTTGCCCATAAAATGCACTGGCATTTTGTAAGTAGGAGCTGTATAACTCTGGAGCCTCACCAACAGATCCAAGCAAGGCTTGCACTGAACGTCTTGATTTTGGAGAATGATATTGGATTTTGGCTTGTCTGTATTACAAACACTATTTCTCTGTGTGTGCTATATAATAAATACTTCTTTAATATATTTTTTAAGTGGTTACCAGGTTAATCTTGGTGTGTGTGGTTGTTTTTTTTGTTTTGTTTTGTTTTTTGGGCTTTTCTCAACAGAGGAAGGTCTCAACATGCCTTAAGTTTGTAGTCTGCCTTGAGTGTCGCAAAGCAGTTTAGAAAAAATATGAAAGGAAGCTGAAACCCATGCTGTGTCCAGAGCATGTGGGAGATGCAGGGGGCGAGGGTTAAGGCAAAGCTGCTTTCTGTCATTATCCCACGTCACTGTCTCAGTCACCATAGCTGACCTGCAGTTATGTAATATAATATGGACACTGAGACTTTTAACAAATGTCACTTTGAAGCAAAGCATGTGCTTTTAGAGAAAGTTGTTTGTTTTAACAGAACCCAAAATTACGCATTCATCATCTTGTCTCCTGTAAAGCATATTGTTCTAGCTTGGAGGAAAACGAAACTAAACCATATGCTGAAAGTGGAAGAATTTAGAAAAACTACTCTTTCCATCAAATCTGTGCCTTGTTTTTCTAGCTTGGGGGGAGGAGGGAAGCAAGCAGGAATTCCTGTAAGGAGGGGGTAAAGTAGGCAGTTACTATTCCTAGTCCATGACACAAGAGTAGGTGCTTTCAAGTACTTGGAAACAAACATTGTACTAAAATTACTACTGGTTACTGGTAAAATTACTTGTAAATGTCTATATTCTAGGATAGAAACAGTATTTAGGGTTTTGCAAAAAGTGTTCCTTAAGTTTTTTGTTCACAAATGTATCTTTGTTCTTAGGTACACCTTTGCTAAGAATTTCCTAAGCAACTAATGACTACGTGTGCTTCAATGTTGGGGTACTCAGCTTGTAGTTTCTCAAAGAACTTATGAATGGTGATGCTTTGACAGTAAGGTGCTATAAAGATCACCCTAAACTGACATTATTAGTGTACTTCCAACCTTCTAGTGTATTTTGAATTTATTCTCCCAGTTTTTCTCTTCATGAGAGTGTAGTGTTAGGTCCTATAAATGTTGGAAAAAATATGGTGAGTTAGTTCAGAATTGGACTTCCATTGGGGTGACTTAATATTACCTGTTTCTGAGGAACATTTTTATTTACTTGTTTTCAGGATCAAAAATCCATATTGTGAGAGTCAGTGCATTGATCTAAATACTTGTGTATTTTTTGGTCTGACTTCCTCTTATTACTTCCTGAGCATTAAGAGGAAGGTTCCTGTGAGGTTGGTTACTTGACCTCTGCCCTACCAATAAGTGAATATGAAATACTGAGTATTTCTGAAAGATCTTAGTTTGCTTTCTGAGATAAGAATTAAGACCAATGAGAGTAATCCGCTCATTATCAACAGCAAACATCTCAGATATTTGAAATGAGATCTTTATTCCAGTCACTGTTCTGAATTTATATCTTGCTGCTAGCTATCTATAGAGAAAAAAGCAATTATCTGTCAGGAAAGATCAGTTTTTGAAAGTTGATGCAGTGGCTACCTTTTAAAATAGATACCCCAGTAACATAATGTGTTACTGTTCTTGTATTTATCTGTACCTCATAGATGTAACTGTACTTCCTCACATTAAAACCAGAGATGCACACGGTCTTGAAATATTGCCCTATGGGAGGGGGGGATCTGTGGTGTGGTGAGAGTACTGTGTGTGGGCCTGGCATGAATCTGTGGGGCATGAGGGAGCTCTGCACCACAGGTTGTTCTTGTGACCTTCTTGGTGGGCCCTGGGGAGGAGGCCTGGGACTGTGAGAGCTGTCCTCATGGCCACTGTGCTGCTCAGAGCAGCCTCTGTCATGCACCAGGCCTCTTAGCTCTCTGCCATCCCATGGGAAGCACTAGGAAATGAAGTGCATTGTGGCTGCTTTCCTCTGGGCGAAGTGGGAGGCAAGCAGGGGGCCTTGTTTCCCTTTATGCAAGGTGGAACAAAGAGGTGCTGTGGGGCTTGCTTATCCTCAGCTACCTGTGTGAGCTCTTGGCACCAGGGACTTCCATGCCCAGTCGAAGCTCTGAACCAGGCAGGGACAAGCTGGGCTCTTCCAAGAACAGCAGAGCAGGTAACAAGATAAATTAAACGCATTTTATACATGAAGCCAACTCTTTTTGTTGTGTATTACCTGAGACGTGTCTCACAAGGCAGATTTGGTAACTGTCTCTAGGGTACAAAGTTTCCAGCTTCACCATAGCTCTGATACACATGCAGTCATTGCTCAAGTGAGGCACATCCAAGTTTAGGCAAGATAGACTTTTTTTTTCTTGTCCTAGTTGATGGAATATTCAACTTTCATTACCAGAACCTGTCCTGAGCTGTTTATGATTTAATATCCGGCCCATGAGGAGGTTTAGGCTTGGGCCAGATGATGAACACTACATAAAAACTAACGTGGCTGCACTGTATAAAGAATCAGCTCAGGTGGAACGGGAAGGTGCAAAAAGGGAGGTGTGCACGATGAAATGACTGCAAACAGGCTGCCACAAAACCATATGCACAACCTGTTCTCAGCAGTGAAATATTAAAGATGAAACAGATAAAACAATCCTTGGTATTGAAAATAAGATTACTGCTTTCATGCATGTGTATTAGCACTGCAGCCCTTTCCACAGATGGACACTATTATAGGGAGTAATCAAATATCAACATGTGTTTCATACAAAAAGAAATTGTAAGCTAACTGACTAGCAGGAAATATTTTTTTTTTTTTTTTTATATCAGAAAGGTGACCAAGGTTTTAAGGTTTTTTTTAGGTCAATGTGGTGGTGATGGTTACTGGGGACTCAATCCTTGCATCAACTTCTAGTCTAACAGAACTATAATACATAGCTTTTTTTTTTGTGTGTGAGTCCAGTTTCATGAGGTCTTGTCACCATTTCTATTGGTTTCAATGTGTTAAGATAATTTAGGTGTCAGAAATTGACTTGCTTTTACTGTAATTGAACAGGTTTAAGTCAGAATGACCTAAGCTGAATTTAGTGGAAACACAGAGTGCAGAAAGGATCCAATACTGCAGATCTTGAATGGTGCTCATCTTTTCCCAGTATAACTATTGCTGCTATTTAGCGAGTTACTTAGCATGTGATGTTTCTGAAACTGATTTTGGATGTAGCAAGGAAAAAGCGATACTGTACAAAGACCTGCAGTCATTATGTCAGTCTTCCGTCAGTAATTGTGATCCCATTCAGACTGTGCAGAGCAGTCTCCTCCTCTGCCTTCCTGGCAGAAAAACAGACAAAGTTGTCGCTTCCCCAAGTTACTTCCTCATAGAGCGGCTGAATCCCATCTCTATCCAGCTCTCCTGCTCTGGGCTTCACTTCCTCACTGCCTTGGTGTCTTCAGCATGCTGGGTGACTCTTCTATTCTTGATGTGGTCTCTTCAGTAAATCTGAAAAATTCACTTCTGTTATTGCAGGAATTGAAAAGTACTTTCCCCGAATTACATATATTTTTAACTACTATTATGTCAAAATCTGCCTCTTGAATTTCTTCTATTTTCTGTTAGGTTTGTTGTTAGTGAGGCAGTAGGTCAGTAATCTGTAGGATTTTTGTCTCAATAAAGTCATTGTGCCTACAAGTGTATATTGCAAGTGTTTCTTGACCTCGCAAATTCACAGTGTGGTGATACCAATAAATTGTACAAACTGCTTTTCTAACAGGGCAAGAATGAATTGCTCTATCCAAAAACTTGTCTGAAACAGATTTTCCATGAGCTGCTTTGTCAGTGTGTGTGCATGTACACACATACAATCCCAGCATTCCTGGGACCTCATGGATTAAGCTCCCATAAGCACACATGATATAATTTCTTCCAGGACCAGATTCGTGTGGTAATGTCATTGTTGCACAACTGCTGGTCTCAGCTTTAAAGTAAAGACATTGAGTACTGAACACTCCAAACTTCTTTCTATACCTTTTTTAACACAACATTTAAAAGCTAAAAATTACCACCACCACCACCACCACCCCCCACCCCCCAAAAAAAAAAAAAATAAAAAATGGCAGAATTACAGGCACTACTCTACTTGTTAAAAAGCGTTTCAAAAGGCTTCATTATCTCCTCTTACAGCACCCCAAAGCAGCCGTAGTTTCGACACTGGCATGCACAGCCTTCAGAGCAGCACTGTGCCTTTTGGCGTGGACTGCTCGTTACACGAGCAACGCGGCCTGCCAACAATTCAATGGTTCTGTTCCGTGATTATAGTTTTCAGGCCATACCCAGTTTATTGACACAGTTTCCTTTTTCTGTTGCTTAATCTCACTTCCCTCCTCTTTCTGCCACCCCTGCTCTCTCCTCCCACGCTTTCCATCCCCGCGTTTTCTCGCCAGCACCAGTAGAGGGCACTTGGATTTAGGTTCTTGGACGTTTCAGTCACTAAAACTACTCAAACACTTGCAGTATTTTTTTTTTTTCCTCTCGTCCCATTCATAGAATCCTGGAGACCAAAACCAAGAACAAACAAAAAACCCTATACCATCAAAATTTGTGTAGAGAGGGGCGGAGGAAGAGCAGTGCCCGGCGTGCAGCCGCACCGGGTGTCACTGCGGGGGGAGAGCTGGGGGCCACCATTTTGGTGAGCTCCAAGTCCTGTTTTCTTTGGGAGGATCCTTCTGATCCTCCCGAAATGAAAGGGCCCTCCAAAACGTTTTCAAGGTAATTCCTTCACAGCGGTGCTCTGGGTAAATAATGCTTCTGCAGCCTCAGCAAAATGGGGCCATCCCCTGACTGCAGCACAGGACACCAGTGCGCACCTCCAAACCTCGCTGCTTCTTCCTCTCTTTACTCATTGATGTGTTCTCCCCTATGGGTTTTACTGCTCAATTTAGATGTTGTGCCCAGAAATCTCTGCTCAGGGATGCTGTTAACCATACCTTCCTTCATAATGAATAGAACAATGTTACTGGATGGGTTAATTCCTGATGTTTGGTTCAAAGAGTTCTTGGCCAGCGCTGCTCAGGATCCACTGAAGGCTGGTCTGATACCTCTTGAGGTATCCCACTGATTTATAAGGCAGTGTGATGTGTGTGCTTGGGGGCAGACCTGACCTGTAAATGGGGGCGTGGGGCAGACAAAAGCGAAGGAGGGTCACTGAAGGGGAGAGGGGTGATGATGAGCTAAAGGGGAAATGAGAGAGCTCTGCCTTCTTAATCTGCTGCCTTTCAAAAACTAATGTGGTCAGGACAGGAAAAAAAAAATAGCGTGCCTAAAAATCTATGCATAGTGTGACAGGCACGTTAAACGAGCACCACAGAGATGCTTTTAAAAAATAAAAGAATTAAAGAGAATAAGTGCCCTGTGTATATGAAAAGACACATTCCCCACTCCTTTCTCTCTTTCTCTTTCAAATGCAGAAGAAACAAAAAGGTCAAGAGAGATTTGGTCGACACCATAACACGGAAGTCACTTTTTGTGCTATTGTGGAAGTGTTATTGTTCTTCTCTTAATGCCTTGTTCATATTAAGAATGAAATAAAAACAATGCTAATGACAAGAGAGGGACAAAGCCGGTGCTGGGATGGATGGCTGTTTGAGAGGAAATATGCTTACCTGTGTATTTTACCATGTTGCTTTGAAAACAAAACCAAACCTACGCGGTTTACTCTCACCATATCCTTCTCAGAAAGCAACTTGCGACCTGCTTGAGACCTACAAAATGTTAGTGCAAACCTTTCCCACCTAACACTGCCATCCAACTGAGAAAGCTGCTATCTAACAGAAGTAACTGAAGCCTGGCACCAAATATAAACAGGGCTGGTGGCTGACAATCACACACGGTTGAGCAAAGACAACTGATTTGTGACTTAAGGCTGTCATAAATGTATACACAGTTGAACAGTTAGTTCTGTGTTTTCAGTTCACATATAAGTCAGATAACTGTATAACTACCTACTGAGATACATAATTGCCTACTTAGGTACATAATTAATTAAATACCGTGTGCAATCATAACTGGCATAAGTGAAATAGGAGTGCAGTCATACCTGCCACAATAGCCTAAGCTTACACAGACAGCTGAGTTATTAATGAGAAAGCCTTGCCTATACTGGGACAACTGGGATCCTTAACTTGTCACCTGTGTAACCCCAGCAGAATAGCTGCAGCAGACTCAGTGGCTTTTAAAAGGAAGTATTCTTATCCTGCAGTCTGCACCAGTCCAAAGTATTTGTGGTCCCTGCCCTAAACTAAAGCTCAGAAGGAATTTGCCAGCATTTCCTGTATTATTTCTAGTGCAAATTCATCTGGGTTTATAAAGTACACTCAGCAGGACAAGTATAGAGTAAGCATTATCAGTTAAGTCCTTTTGGCATAAAGGAAAATTTTTAATTTCCTACTTTAATTATAAATCAGAGAAGGCATTGTCTCTGTAAAGTATCTTGGTCTACAATAGTTTACACAATGGGGTTCTAATTTGTAGCTGCAGCTCTTAGGAGCTATGGTATTTCCTGAGACCGAAAATGGTGAAACTCTTCTAAAACTGACTAATACATATTTCAGTTTAATAACGGAAAAAATGTATTCTGAACTCTCTTTTTACAGATAAAGGTTGGTTCCTACTCAAGTGGTGTCTGAAGTTCCTGGTATTCAGTGTCAGCATTCTGGTTCAGGCAGATATGAGTCACGGATCCAGATCAAATTTTTGTGTAAATGAGGCAAATGTTCAGGTGCGTTATTTGGTTCTGACAGACATGTGAGATTTATTTAGTGATAAGAACAAGTATTTAAGCCTGTTGGCTGAAGCAATTATCAGTTTACCACTTAATCACAACTCACAGGTTAAAGCAGAAGTTATAGGAAAGGGGCAGGTACTCAGATAACAGGAAAAAATACATTTAATTTGAGGCCCTTGTACTTATAACTCCTGTGTTTTCATCCTTGAAAAGTTTGGTGTATATTAGTACATATTTCTGACTCCCCATACATTTGAATTATGTGATAAAGAAAGACCTAATTACCAGAGCCAGTGTGAATGTGTGCTGACACGCTCTTTTTTTTTTTTTTTTTAACACAATCACCACTTCTTTGTCTTGTGTAATTTGATCTTCAAGGGACGACCCCCCCCCCCCCCCAAAAAAAAAATAAAAAAATAAATTTGGGTTTTCAGAGTCATGATTCAGGTGGATGTTGAAAATCATGGACTTGTAGATGCTGCTATTGTGCTTCGGGTATGCTGTCTTTTCCTCCCCTCTCCAGACCTAGCTAGTTTCTAAATGTTACATGTGTGGTATTAGTAGTGCGTTTTTCCTGGGAGGCTGTGTGCTATCCCTACCAGCAACCCTTTCTACTTCACCAGAGGTATCTCCATGTTCTCTCAAACAGTCATCAATATGATGAAGTTAGATGTAGAGAAGTTGTTTTCAGTCTCTCAGCATGAATGCTGCTGCTTTGGTGGTGCTGTAAAAAAGGGCTTTCTGCTTAGGAGCTTACCTAAAGAAAAAAAAAAAAAAGAATAGGAAAAAAAAAAAAGAGAAAAAGAATTTGTCAGTTGGCCTAATAAAGATTATTGCATTTCCCTATAGCGCTGCCAGGCATAAGTAAGTGTGGGATAACCTGTTCTGGTATTCCAACTGCATTTCTGCCCAGCCCATGCTTTCGGTAGTGCCATCCCTGTAACGTGGTCATCCTCTTGGAAGGAAAGGTGGCACAGAGCTTGGGGCAAGGGGGAGAGAACTCACTTGCAGGATGCTTGGGGCATATGGAACCATGGACAAGGGCTTCAGCTTCCACTGCAGGATGGTGGGTGCTCGTGGGTGAGGGTCAGGATCGATGCCTTCGCTCTGCTGGGACTCAAGAGTTGCTGCCCCCTGCCCAGCCTGCAGCAGGCACAATGAGCCAGGCTGGCAGAAGTCACCTTGCTTTTGTTTAAGTTTATTAAACCCAGCCATAAAAAGCAGCTTGCCAGCAAGTTCTGAGATGCCAGCAATGAGCAGCTGAGTGGGGACAACAGCTTGCCTCTGGATTACCATTCAGTGACAAACTTTTAGGTTTTCTTCTGCAGGGAAGTACCAATTCATGGTGTAAAACAGGGATCTTCTCCAGGGTGAATGTGGGCAATCAGCACAGGTCTCATTTATGTGTTCCCTGCTCTGTGTAACATACCTGTGAGGTACAAGCAGACTCAGTAACAATTGTGGTTATTAAGTCAGTAAGGAGCCCCGTGAAGCAGGCTGGACATATCCACAGATAGTTCTTGTCTGCCTATAACCCCACCACAGAGAATGAAAGCTTGAAATAAAAAGCCTAAACAAATGCACGTTGCACACCAATATGCAGCATAGGGTCAAATGTTCGCAGGGCTGTCAAAACTTGCTTGGAGCAAGAAACAAAACAAAAGAAACCACACCCTCCTTCACATCTGCCACTGCCTGACACACTGCGCCGGGTTTCCTTGCTTCTAATAAAGATCACACAGCAGCTAATACTCTATCAAAGCTTAAAGAACAAATAAATGCAGCACTTACTTCTGAGGCCCATGCCCTGGTTTTATTGGCACGCGTAACGCAGGCAGTGTCGTGAGAGGCTTGTGAAATGCAACTTCCCACATGCACCCATGCTGTTTGAACATCTTGGTGCAGATTTTGTTAAGAGATATCTGTGTTCTTAGAAAGAGCATGTCTCTGCTCTGAGAAATCACTTATTTTAGCATTGTTGATAAAACTCCTGAGGGAAGAGAGAGCACTGAAAGAACAATCTCCCAAGTACAGCTAAGGATATAGTTTGCAGGGTATGGGGTAGTTTATTGGAACCCTGGTGATCAATATCTTGCAGGATGATTCATTCCATTGTGAAGCAGCAACTGCAGTTCCTTCGTCAAGGCCCTACAGAGTGGGAATGGAATCGAGGCAGATACCCTAATTCTGGCCTCTCATGCGTGCAGGAAGCTTTGGGGATCTATATCCAGCCCATGTGGGGTTGCTGATAGCCTATCCCAAAGCTCCTGGCTGTTGGTGTCAGAAGCTGTTGGTGCTATCTGTCACAGACAGGTATAGAAGGAGAAACTGCTGATTTTGTTTCCACACGGAGATGTTTGAATATTAGTGTGCTTAAGAAATAGAGACTGGCAGTACCTGGAGTAAGACAAGTAATATTTATAACATCAGTGAGAGTCACGTTTGGGTTTCAAATGAGGCTAGGCTGAATAAAACAAATGACCCAAATCTGAACTGCAGGAGACTCAAAATATTCTCATCCTGCACTCAAAATATACTCAGTGTGGCTCACTTTGAGACACTTAAATGCCTTAAACCTAGGCATTGTGTAACC